TTTTTCTTTAAGATATATTGGGGAACTTTATCTGATAGTCACATTGCAGAAAATAATAAAAAAACAACAACAACAAACAAAAATAAAGTGTTGCACTTACATAATCATTAATATGTTTGATTCACTTTTAACTGTAGATAATATTTGTACACCACTTGTTGACAAAATTACTTTTTTCTTATGAACACAGCATTATTTCTACAAATGTTTTCCTCCATGCAAAACACTGAAAATGACCCTAAATCTATAATTAAAAAAATCAAGTCTGTTTATGTATGGGAGTACATAAATTTGTGTAAACATTACATCTATGTGTTTTTTTTATTATTATTTGTATTTATTTATTTATTTATTTTCATGTGTCTAGGTTGTCCACATGAAAACTTACTGATTAATCTTGAGGCATATTTTTCCATGCAGATGCAAAGTTGAAACTAAAAAACACTCACAAAAAAAAACACCTTTGTGCATTCACAAAATCGCTCTCCCATGTGGATGGGGTCCTAGTGAATGATCTCGGAGTCTTGCTACCCAAAGGTAAACCTCTCCAACTTGGCATAATTCTTTGAAAGCCTGCAAACTTCAATTTCACAGGAGAATAGTTTTGATTTCCTGAATGTAAAGAAGACCTTGGATAGAGTGCAGCCAAGTGATCAGGTGTGACACCGTAGCTTATACCTTGCTAGGATGTATTGTGTCTACTCCTTATGTGAAGCCAAGTCATTGTGATAACAAAGTAATGCATATTGAAAGGGGTTGAGGAAATAAATGAATACTGCCATTCATAGCGCTGCCACACACAGGCGCACACACATCCACGTTGAAGTCAGCTAAAAGGTTGGCAGGAAAATGTATCCGTTTCTCACCTCTCCCGCAGCATGATAATTTTTGGCTGGGTTTGACACCTCTTGCTGAGGGTGAAGAGCTTGTTGACAATGCGTCGCGCTTTGCTCAGTAGCTGCTGAGTGCTGAGCTCCAGCTGTTTGTAGCGCTGGTGAATGGACGGCTCCATCTTCCAAAAATACTGGATGGCAGATGTGTTCAGGGCATAGAATGTGGGAAGTCTTCGAACGAAATTCTGAAACTCTTCTGGAAAGCAGAAAGAAATGTAAATTATGTCACGAGGAACGGACAACCTCTTTCCAGCTCACGACAAATGGAGTCTCGTACATTTTTCCAAAAATATTTGGCTAATTTAGTCCCACCAAATAAGGGGACCATATATTTAAGGGCCACATGGTCTCAAGTGCTACAGGGCAAACTGGAAAAAGATATTGTTTGACACATATGCTAATAGGAGAAGGCAGGGCTAAATGCAGGAATGAGGAGAGATGTTTTTTTACCCTTCGTTAATGAGCAGCCTGCAGGTTTTTCAAAGCTCAGTTTGCAAGTCTGTCTAGGAAAATACAGGATGGGTGAGGAGCTCAGATGATAAGATCTGTCAGCAATTCAGAGCGACTGTTTGCTGCATGGAACTAAATAAAAAACAGATTACATTCCCAGCGTATTCACTAACCATATCATAGTTATCATTATACTAACGCTTGATTGTATTGAAAATCAAACATGCATGGGACTGATTAAAAAATGACCATGCCACTGTTTGTAATTACTTCAAGTTATCTTGATAATGAAGCATCTGATTAGAAAACCAATTAGGTCTCAATGGCTTCCCTATTATACCAGGTGTGCTTCATATTACAGTGAAATTAATCCATTGAAACTGTGAAACAAAACATAAATAAATACAAACAGCCCAATGTAGAGTTCTATTAAATTTCACATAATGTTAAATTAATTTGATATTTTATACTATCGTATGCAAAAATTTAATTGTAAGGCCAAAACAAAAAAACATAAGATCGATATAGTTCATATTAGTGCAGCATCATCATCAGAAACAGTTTCCGGATGTGTTTAGTTTTTGAACAACTACGGTAATGCAAATGATTGATGGATAAACTAGCAAGCATATGACATTTAGCTTTCATTATCGGTCTTTTAGATATTGAAACATCATTTGCCATAGTAAGCAATAACAAAAGTCTCAGTGGATATTAGCAACTTTGCCAAGACAGGACAAACAGACAATACAAATGAAAAAAACAAATATATGAAGAAATACAAAACATTTGTGAATCTTGTAATAATATATATATATATATATATATATATATATATATATACACACACACACACACACACACAAACATAGTAACTAATATAATATTTGATATATAATAACTAATAAAATACGGGACTCTTATGAGGAACTGTAAAGTTATGTTTTTATATAGGCTGGGAACAGCAAATAACAGCTAACCTAGACCATCATTTTATCACCCAGACAACAAGACATCATCCCTTGAAACCTGCTATCTAACCACCATTATTATCTTGTCAGCCAGTGATCCCAAAAGGTAGCAGTGCTTCCCTTTTGTATGACTTTAAAAATAGAAGACAGGCTTGGGAGCAGCTCACGAACAGACGCTGTGTTGGCACTATTAAAACAACAGTTGAGGGTTGTGGGATAATGACTCAAAAAAAAAAAGGAAGAAAAACTTTTTTTTTTTTCCAAGTTAACATAATGCATATCTACTGATAACTATGTGCATTATTTTAGTTAACTTGTTGACTTTTCTTTTATTCAAACTATGTCTGGAGAAAAAAAAAAGTTTCAGTCATGCAATATATCTTTCAAATCATCACTCTTCCTTGTAGATATTTTAATTTCTGGCTGCTGAATGTTAGTGGTGGGCACTGTTAGTTTGCTAACCCATTAAACCCCAACAAAAATAAATACATGCTTTGCTAACACTAAACCACTACACAGGTAATATATATATATATATATATATATATATATATATATATATATCAGATGTTAATGCTAAACCGCTAAGATGACTGTCACTCAGTCTATGTCTTTGTCTCCTTCCATTTAAAGTTGCATTGACCAATCACATCTTATCACACATGCATGTAATAAGCCAATAGCGTGTCCAGCTTATCGCCACTCCATTAACCAATCACTCGTGTGCATGTAGTAAACCAACCACATGTGTGTCGGACTCTTGGAGACACGCCCACAACAGAAAGGAACAGGCTTGTGAATTTTGTTAGCAGACTTAAAGTGGGTTAAAGTGGAATCTAATGCCAATAACTTCTTCCAAAGTTTGCAAAACCGATAAGCCACTTAATGAAAAAATTGTGACGCAATCAGCTGGTAGTGGATCAGCAGAACTGTACCTACCACTGCTGAAAGGTGATGGCATACATTAATATTTTTGTCTGTGTCATGACTGTGTCCATGACTGGAATGATTTACCACTACCTGTCAGGCAGGCTCCTTCTCTCATGGTTTTTAAGTCTTGCTTAAAAACACACTTTTATTCCCTGGCTTTTGACACTGTGCAACTTGTTTTTAATCATGTACTCTACAATGTTAGCCTTTTAGTTATTATCTTTTACAATTTGGATCTATGCATTTTATCATGTGTCCTTTGCTTGTTTGTTTTTCCTGTACAGCACGTTGGTTGGCCTTGCTGCTGTTTTACGTGCTTTATAAATAAACTGGTATGGTATGATATGTGTCCATGTACAAAGTATTTGTGTGTCTGTTTGGTACCAAAATATCTCATGAACCACTCAATGAATCCTAATGAAGCTTGCAGAAAGGAATCAAAGCACATATCTGTACAGCTGAGAAAATATTGGAGCCAAACCAATTCAAGATGGCTGCCACAACTAACTTAACTTAAAAAAAATAAAATAAAAGGACGTCTTTAACTCTGTCATAATAATAATAATATAATAATAATTTAATAATAATAAAATTAGTCCAATATTCAAAATCCCTCACAAACTACTGAATGGATCATATTAAAAATTCAGGAAATAGTCTGTTGTACTTCAACAACAGATTATTCTTAAGAGCCAACATGATGTAGAAATCATTTTTTTTCTTCTTCTTTTAAATTCAATCACATTTACAAATATCATCACAGATTTGGTGTGATTGTGGCTGTGTGTGTCACTACACATACTCCAAGTACCACTCATTGAGCAAGACCATTTCACAAAACTTTAGCAATAACTTTTGGCCTCAACTCAGTCTGATACCAAAATGCCTCATCATCAAAAATTTCAGAAAATAATAATTGGACATGCATGCTATGGCTGAATACCAATTCAAAACAGCCATCACAGCTAATCTATGTTAGCCAACACAAAAATGGATTTATCTCATCCAATTTTACTGAGCTAAATTTTGACATGCTTGTAGCCACGATCTTCTAAGTATTGCTAGTAATTTTGTTGTAGGTTTTATTTTAATTATTATCTATTTTTCCATGTACAGTGTTATGAATATGAGCACTAAAACATTAATCAAAACATCTATCACAAATTGAAATACTAATCCAACTAAAAATTACATGATCTCTTTAATAAACCATGTTACGCTCAGTGTGAGATCAAAGCCAATCATATCCTGGATCAGCAGCCAGTAGAAACCACATTTAACAATCACAGTTATGATTATTAGTCTCTCCGCTCCTGATGTAAGATGTTCTCCATACGATCAACTGTAGAGCCACAGGGGTATTTGGTAAATTATTTTTTTTCTTTACTGAATACAGGTCTGCAACTGCACTCCTCTAAGCACCTTGCTGCTTAAGTTATTGCCAAGTATGAGGTAATCAAGTTGCACTCAAGCACCTAGCTCGTGGTAACACTCTCAACCAGCAAGGTGCAGTAAAAACAGCTTAAGGCAACGCTGGAATTGTCTCAAACTGTGATTCTCGCTTCAAGATTCTGAACATTGCTGAGCTTTATAAATGATTCATAAAAACAAAAATATGTTGCAAGACCTTTTAAAAAAGATGCACATGATAGGCAGCACAGAAAATGCACATCATGTGCTGTAAAAGCCAATGAAGACGCCTGACAGTTTGTCCGTTTATTAATAGAAATTAGAATTAAAAAGCTTGTTTTAAATATGCACATCCTCTTTTTATGATGTTTATCAGGGAATATTAAATGAAGCTAACAGATACAATGGCGTCAGCCGAGCCGTGAAATATTTTATTAGAGCTTACATCATATGCTGCTAACAGAATATAGAAACTGTAGTTTGTTTCTGGAGCATGACAGATTATCGTTGAGCTACTGGAGAGTCTTCACTTGGAAGATTCGCAGCTGATCCAGTCGCATAATTGTTCAATGTTTTACATTTTCATTTCTGGATTTTAAAACTCGATCTTGGTCATCCCATTACAAAATGAAAACCAGAAATAACACTTTTGGGTAGGTGTTTAAATGTCAGAGAGTAGAAGGAATTTGTAATAATATATTATTAATTTTTTTAATGGGAGACAGTGTCAGTTTTGATCGTCTGATTGTATTAGTCCACTGATCAATGCTATTTATCAATAACAAGTGCTGCTTAAGTAGTTATTGGATTTTCATAATTTTTGCATAAACTATAATTTGGCCTTTTATATTTTGTTGTTTAGTGGGGGCATTTTTTGCAACCAAAATTTTTGATTTTTTTTTTAATTGTATTTATTTATTTACTTATTTAAGCATAACAAAAAAAATGTTTTTAGGATTTGTGTGTGTGTGTTTGCTTGCATTGCACTATACCATCCATAAATTCATTATCTTTATTTGCTTTTTCCTTTTTGGTTCGTTGTTGTTACTGTTGCCCGTATCCAGCAGTCACTGTGCGAGAGGCTGAGGACATCCTGGTCCATCACAGGGACACATAGAGACATAACTCTTCACTCTATCATTCACACCTAGGGGCAATTTAGAGTTACCAATCAGCCTGACATACATGTTTTTAGTCTGTGGGAGGAAACTGGAGTACCCAGAGAAAACCCACGCAGCACAGAGAGAACATGTAAACAACCCAGAAAGGCTCCCGGCCGGGATTTGATCCAACGACCTTCTGTCATGCTGAGAGGCAACATCTCTACCAACTGAGTCACTGTGCCGGCCTGCACTAAAAAAACAAAAAAAATAAAAATTTAAATCATATAAAAACAGCTTACTTAAAATAAATAAGGATGAATTCTACACATACATTTTATATTAAGTCTTGTCATATGTATTATTTGTTCATTTATACAAATTTTCTGCTAATCAACTTGGTACCACTTTCCAAAAGAAGGGGAACAAATACATGGAGTCATATTATATGGAAATTAAGTTTTTTTTTTTTTTTTTTTTTTTTTTTATAAATCAGGTCTCTCTTGTAAATGAGTCTCCAAGGCTCAATGGGATTAACCTGTTCAAGTAAAGGTTGAATGAAAAATCAACTTTTAGTAATTGAAAAGATCATCAATCTATAGAGTTTATCAAGGTGATGAAACACATTTGTTTTATCTATTCATGTAGTCTGGAAAGCAACACATATCAAGCTGCGCAGCCTCCATGTCACACGTTGATGCTGGAGCACAGGATGCTCTCCACTGCACACCTGTAGAAGGAGGTGAGGACTGATCTTCCCAGACCAGCTCGCCTCATCTGCCTGAGGAAGTAGAGTCTCTGATGAGCTTTCTTGATCAGGCTGGTAGTATTGTTGCCTCAGCTGAGGTTGTCATTCAGGTGCACACCCAAGTACTTGTAGATGGAGACCACTTCCACTGCAGATCCTCCTATATTCAGGGGTGGTGGGGGGTGAGTGTGTTTGTTCCGTCTGAAGTCCACAACTATCTCCTTCGTCTTCTTCATATTGATGTGAAGATTGTTCTTCCCACACCAGCTCTCCAGATTTTCCACCTCCTTCCTGTAGCTGGACTCATTGTTGTTTGTGATGCATCCAACCAATGCTATATCATCTGCAAACTTACAATAAGATAGCCTGGTTGGGTATGTTTACAGCCATACGTGAGCAGAGTGAACAGAAGAGGGCTCAGCACACAGCCCTGAGGGGAGCAAGTGATGAGGGTTATGGTGGAGGAAGAGAAGTTGTGGATCCTCAGTGTGGAGGACAAAGGAGATGACATCCTCTGTTGATCAGTTCCTGTCGTATGCATACTGGTGAGGGCCCTCACTGATGCTTATGGTTGTTTTAATGAGAGTCACGACCAGTCTTTTGAAGCCTTTAGTAACTATTTAGGTGAGGGCTACTGGCCGATAGTCATTCAGACCAGTCACTGTAGAGCTCTCAGGGACTGGGATGATGGTGGCAGTCTTCAGGCAGGTGGGAACTGTTGCCAGGGTGAAGGAGGAGTTAAGATGTCAGCCAGCACCTCATTTAGCTGATCAGCACAGTCTTTCAGCACTTTCCCCAGGATGTTGTCTGGGCCAGTTGTTTTGTGAGGATTTATCCTGCTGAAGGTACACCTTACTTTAACTGAGGTCACATTGAGAAACTCCTCTTCTGGTGGTGAGATGTCTTGTGCTGCTATGTGGTCTGTTTGAGTCTTCAAAACATGCATAGAACTTGTTGAGAGTATCATGCAGTGATGAGTCCCTACGGCATTGTGCACCTCTGTCAAGTTTATCTGTTATACAATTAGCACTCCTCCACATGAGGAGCTTTTACAAAAAAAAAAAGTAAAAAAAAAAAAAAATGCATGCTAGGCTGCTTTCAGGCCCAGGCCTCCATTGCAATTTAAGATTTGTGATCTCAATGGGATTTGCCTGGTTAAATAAAGGTTAATATAAACATGTTTGATGGGTCTTGTGAGGTGAATCGGCCGTGGATCCTCTGTGCATATGTGGCTTTGGCTCTTTTAATACCAGCAACCAGCTCTTTCCTTGTCCTTCTCAGCTCCTGTGAGTTGCCAGACCTGAAGGCAATGTCCCTAGCTTCTAGCAGGATGCACACCTCTGCATTCAGCCAGGGTTTTTGGCTTGTGAAACTCATTACAGTCCTGACAGTGGTGACATCATCAGCACACTTGCTGATTTATCCGAGGACCAAGGATGTATATTCCTCCACGTCTATCTCCCCCTCGTTTTCAGCAGCTTCTCTGAAGGAGGTTGCTGGATCGAATCCTGGCCAGAAACCTTTCCAGTTGGAGTTTGCATGTTCACTCCTTGCATAAGTGGGTTTTCTCTTTAATCTAGTTTCCTCCCACTGACCTAAAACATATGTTAGGCTGATCGGACTCTAAAATAGTTTCTAGGTGTGAGTGAGAGAGTGAATGGTTGTTTGTCTTGTTGATTTCTAAGTGGCCCTGTGATGTACTTGCAATTTGTACAGGGTGTATCCCATCACTCGTACGGTGACATGAGCGCCAGTGACCCCCACAACCCAGAAAGGAAGAAGCAGGTAATGATAATAGATGGATGGATGGAAAAATAGCTCTGATAAACAACTGTCAAAGAAAAACACATGTGAGAATTGAGCTATTTCGACTGAAATGAGTGAAGACCATAAACGTCCCTGAAGGCGTTTGACAGCTATGTACTGTTTCAAGGGTAGATTGTTAAATTGGTAAACTTCACTTGTGTTAAAAGTGCACAATAGCGTAAATAGTCCTTCACATATTGATATTCACAAATATTTGTGTCATGATATTGCAATAATAGTAATTCAACTGTGATTTCCATCTTTCACAAGAAGCCCTATAGTTTGTAGTAGCGTGTAGCTTGTTCAAAGAGCAAAAATAAATGAATGAATAAATGCATGAAAAAATAAATAAATAAATAAATAAATAAATAAATAAATACATACATACATACATACATACATACATACATACATACATACATACATA